CAACAAATTGTTGTTTAACAAGGAGAGACAGCCACAGTCACGCGACTCGAACCCCGAACCCCGAACCCCAATCCTCAATCCCCAATCCTCTCGAGTGTTCGGCGTGTTAATCGCTTTATATGCAGTGCTTCCAAGTGTGAGTGCGAGGTGATGTCTTGTTTTAATGCAATGTGGGTGAGTGGGTGAGTGGGTGAGTGGATGAGTGTGTGAGTGCCTGGGGCAATACACGCACAGCTGCCGAAATATCTTACCTCCATTTCGTGAAATGAAACAATTAGGAGAAAAAGTTGCCTCTTGCTAAGGACACTTTCCTTTGGCCACCCCCCTCCCCATCACCCAACGCCCCCTTTCTTCCGGAGGGTTTTCGGATATCCAAAACCCAACCCTTTTTATAGCTCGGCAAACATGTGTATGCCTGTAAACAAGGCTGCCTGCTTGTGTGTGGCTCTGTGTGCGTTTAATGACAAAATAATTAGAAAACTTTTTGTGTACTTTGTAGCCGGGCCCGGGGTCCGGGATCCGGAGTTTGGGCATGAGTCTGAGTCTCGATGTGTCGTAGTTCCCCGGATGTCCTCCCACATTCCGCCCTGTCAATGTCACCGCCAATTTGCCGCTTCTGCCTCTTTTTCGGCCCGCTTCTCTGCCCCCGTTTATGTGTACGGAGAACGTGTATATCTGCTTCTGGCCACACACATCTGGAAATTGCCAAACAAGAACGCTGCCTCCAACGGCCTTGGTGTCTTTGGCAATTACGAGGCTGGGGTTGCGACATTGACACCTGACTGGTTGGGGTGTTTCGCCGGCAACCATGTCGAAATGTTTAAAATTTAAGCAACTAAACGTTAAATGTATAATCAAAGGCCTTGGGGTTACACCGCCGTGAAATTTAAGAGCTGCTAATGTTGTTATCTAATTAGGAAACGTGTTCTGAACAAGCATGTACATGATACATTTCTTAATTCTCAATTCATAAAAAGTTCTTGATGTTTTACCAATAAAAAGCAGTGCAATATATTGCTTTAAAAAAAAATGCTAACACAGACATGTTTTAACAACTATAAACCTATTTTTACTTTTAAAACCGTCGAATTTTAATAGCTTCCGGATCGAGCGTAGGTCGCAGATTAAATAACTGAGATCAGCTTGTTATTAAAGATGCGGGCCAACGCTTTGCTATCGTTTTTTAATTATCTTTGATTAAATGCCATTTAAATGGAGACCACCGCAAGCCACCAGAGTGTGGCTAATGCACCAGCCACACAATTACCCAAATATTTTATTGGATTCGCCCATCAGCCATTTGGCATTTAGTTATTAAGCATTTGAACATATGGCGCAGTCAGAAGGGAAAAACTTCCGCCAGACAGACGGAGAATACTCGAGGACCCAGTGCACACACAATAAAGTATATGTTGGGAACAGACTGCGCCCCTTTATTCCGCCGATGGCTGCGGGCTGGCCCACATTGCGTATGCGTATCGCCAGAGTCGCCCGTCACGAAACTAGCTGCTTACCGGCTGTGTACGTGGAGGTGTTTTTATTGAAGTGCGTGGCGAAACACTTTAACTCGTTGTCCGAATTGCTGCACGGAAACGGGGATCGGGATACGAGGAGCTGGTGAGCTGAGGAGTTCTGAGCACGACAACTCCGGGGCTGGCAAACCCACAGAAACGTGCCAAATCGATGGTTGGCCATGGTCACAAAAAAGGCGGCACAATAAAATGGTTGGAAAAACAACAAAACCACAAAAAAAGAAATTACCAAGTTTCTAAGGAAAACAGAACCTTTTTTCAAAACAATATACCATCAAGTTAAAAGAATAGAAACGCTAAAAAAAAATAAAAATAACAATTCTTATTATTATTTTAAGTCTATTGCTTTAATTAATTCTTAATTCTATTGCTAGATGACTCTGTTAAAACTTGTCTTGATTATTTAATTTGAATAGCCTTATTAATAAAAAAATTCACTAAGATTAAAAAATCCAAATTAATTTTTTTTGCATACTTTTACACACCTTATTGAATAGTTTTAAGCCAGAAGGGTTTTTGTGGCACCCCCAATATAATGTATTTATGATTTCCGTAAGTTTTTTATATGGTATATATTTATTTATACCTGTGAATTCCAATTTTAAGTCTTATCTATGAACAAATACTCAGCAGTACCACAAAACTTACGTGCCCCAGCTTAGCCAAAAATTCCAGCTACCCGGTGCAGAGATGCCGAAAAGGTTTTCGGTCAGACGAGCGGAGCCCTGACCGGTAAATGCTTACATGAACTTATACCTGGACAAATACTCGTATGAATATATACAGACCGAAGGCACATACGCTGCCAAGTATTTGCACTGGCCAAAAGGAGATGCCGCAACAAAAAAAAAATAAAAAAAAGGGAATCGTAGAGCTGAAGGCAAACTTTGTGCCATGTTTGGGGCAGGGATAGAAGGCAGGAGCTAGTTGATTTTCAACAGTTGAGTTGAGTTTATTTTGCCGTCCAGGTGAGATGGGCTGGGGAAAAGGGGAAGTGGAATTGGAAGGGGAACGTGGAACGTGGAACAGCAGCCGGCATTGCATACATTTTTGCTGCGTGCCTTGGCAGTTTTTCTACCACTTGGCCCGGCTGGCTGGCCAAGTCGAGCGTGAAATGTTGATGAAGTAACCGCACATGTTTGCCGTTTGCCTCTTGTCGTGCATAAGTTCCTAAAAACCGGCTTCACCTCAAGTGAATGTTTAGGCGCAAAACTTTTGTTCGGGCTCCCCTGTCTAAGCGCAAATTAGTTTGTCCAGCTCGGGGCAAAGTTTGGTTTGTGCAACAGCAAATTCGTGTTTCGCCATTCTGCGTCTGGGTGCCACTTGTCCCATATGCATATAAATAAAGCGATAAAAAAAATGCTTCGACAATGTGAAAAGGGTGAAAAAGAATGAAAGTTTCGCAACTAGAGCATGTCATGATGCACGGCCACCATATGTTAGATGTTGATGTAGCACATGCATCGTTACCGAAACAACCATCAAAAACGAACATCCAAAAACGGCACGGGTGAAACAACAGGATTCAGGATTCCTCGGTTCCAGGACTCTGATTCTTTTTCAGTTTCAGTTTTAGTTTCAGTTTCAGTTTCAGTTTCGGTTCCAAGGACAATGTAACCATGTTAAACAGCAATCAGAGTGGAAATACAAACCACTCGTTGGTAATTTTGCATGCAACGCTTAATGTTTGTGGCGAAAGTGGCGTTGATTTCGGCAGACAACTTTTTTTCAGTTTTTCGCCTCCACCTCGTGTTTGGATTTTTGTTTTCTGTCCAGAGTTTTGTTTTTTCTGTATTACATTTCCTCCATCCAAAAACAGTGTCGCTAAAGTTTTTGCAGCGGCAAGAGTGGGAGGGACGGTGGCGGCCCTCGGCAGCGGGCCAAATTAAACGAAATGTATACAAAATTTGCTGCAGCGGCGCTGCTGCACTCGAAATTTGAGTGAGTGTCTGCCTGCATAAAGAAGCACCACCAGCAGCGGATGGCTGCAGGCTGAGCAGTGGCTCCACTGCGAAAAATACAAACATCACTACAGAAGTAAAGTTTCTAAAAAAAATGTAGCTATGTAGCTACTTTTTCTGTCTAATTCAAATTTAATCAAACATTTTATTGGGGAGCTAAATGCTTCCAAACAGCAATTTTATTTGGTTTCAATATTTATCATGTTATACAACATTTTTATTTTATTTGTATATCTATAATGTAATTTATATAATATGAATTTAGTTATATTTATAAGTTTCGAAGTGCATATCGTCATCTTAATTGAAAAAATTTCATATTAAGTAGTATTTAAGTCTTCTTTGGTTAAAGCAAGATGGACAGAAAAGGATTGATAAACCATCTGTAGTAGTATATCACAAAATGAACCATTTTTCAGAATCGGGGAATTTCATTTTTGAAACAAAGTTTGCCAGCAGATCAGTGATCATATATCTCTATAAGACAAGATTATTGTTAAATCACTCTTTAACAGCAGCTGGCCAGCAGGGCTCCAAAAATCCCTAATAAAATACCGATTTTTGGTTTGGATGAAATGCATTTTCCTGAGTGTTGGGAGAGTTTTCGGCATGGGCGACTGGGATGTGCAGGCAGCCGTGGCGTGAGATGTTTGCCAACATGTACAACAATGTGCTGTTGCTGCTGCTGCTGCTTCTGCTGCTTTTGGGGCTGCCGCGTTGTCTAAAGTTTGAAGTGCGCATAATAAGCCAGGCGGGGGGATGTGCCCCAAACCATGCCAAATTAGGCACTGCAGATAGTGCCCCGAAATGAAGGCAACCGTTTTGGGGGCCAAAAGAAGTGAGAAGTGCCTCGCCGAAAGAGACTGAGTTCAATGAGCCCGTCATCATGGCGCAGCTTGTTAGCTTTCGAAAGTGAAACTAATTTCCGTTTCTACGTGGATACAACTTGCCTGAAACTAGGTCAAAGAGTAGGAGTTTGGGTGATATTGGAACAAACTAGGCTGCACTCCCTTAATTATGTCTAACAAATATAAAGTAATACAATTTTTAATGAGTTTTATCGAAATGGAAATGCGGTAACAAAGTTATAATGTTAAGAAATCTAAGAATATGTTTTACATTGGATTTTTACAAATACATTTATAAATATATTATAAAGCCCGTTTTCCAAAAACACATTTCTCGTGAATGCTTTTAAAAGAAGAAAGAAGAAATGCTTTTTGAAAAATATTACCAATTAATTTTTCAAGAAAAATCGGGTGAAACCGAGCCTAAGTGAAATAATTTAAAGACGATTGAGCAAACCAAATACAAATATTCCGATACTTTAAGTCTTTATTAATTGCGAAAAACAAAATTTTACAGTGGCATAATTATCTAATTAGCCAACGTGCAATTAGGTAAATTATTAATCCACTTAAAAGAGGCTCTGTATTTCTCCCCCGGCCAAACTCAAATTATAATTCTGTACACCTCTTTATTTTTCCAACATCTTCACCTTTTGCAGAAAATTGAAATCGGAAAAACCATGCAACAATTGAAGGGCATCGCACACCTCAGTGCCACACAGCGGCAGCAACATCAACAGCAGCAACAGCAGCGCAAAAGTTATGCCACGGGCAAAAACTGAAAATGAAACAACTTAATTAGTAGTTGCAGGAGTCGAGAGCAAAAAGCCGCGCACTCCCTGAATTCCGAATCAGACCAGCTCAGCCCTTGGAAGTGGAAGTAGGAGTGCAAGTAGAAGCTAGCACTACACAATTTCGGGGAATTTTTCGGCGAAGGAGCAACCAGCTCCGGTTAATGTGTTCGCGTGTGAGTGAGAGTGGCTGCACTTTTTCGAGAAAATTAAATTGAAAACAACAGCAGAAGAAGGGCGAGTAAACACTCTGAAATACGAGACGAGCCTGCTTATAAATTGTTACACTTTACACAATGGATTTGCCAGCGAAAAGGACTTCCACAATGCCCCTAACGACTTCCTACAACGCCAGCATCAGACGAAGCTGCCTGGCTTTATTCGCGGTCTTCCTGTTCGCGGCACACATCAGCATAACTTCCGGTCAAATCGATTGGGACGACGACGATGATCCAGGTGAGTGAATATGAATACACTGATAAAAGAATTGGTAAAGGTAAAACTGCTGACGTTTGGCTCTATATGTACTCACAAAAATAGTAATTTCAATCACCTTATGCAATTTACTTAACAAAAACTAACCCACAATAAATTTGAGTAAAATCAAGGTCAGTTACCTTTTCCGTGATTAAAAACGGAATATAAAATAATTATAACTATTAATATAAAATTGCATTAAAAAAGGTAAACTAATTTAGGAAAGGTTTATTTCCCTTTGTCTACGAATACTTTATTTTAAGACCTATCTGGATTAAAGAAGTTCAATAAACTTTTCCATGAAATACCTATAATAATGGAAGAAGTTCCATTCATAGACTTAACTATTTTTAAATGAGAAAGCCGTGTGCTTAAGCCCCTTAGATTTTTTAAGCTAAGTAATTTTGTCTGTTGTTATACCAAATTATACCAGAACACATTTACTCAATCAATAATCAACATCAATCATTTTTAATAACATGCAAACTGTAATATTTATTTTCTATTTTATTTTTCTCCGTGTAACAATACGAATCAAAATTCAATGCGAATACAAAGTTGGGCAAAACAATCCAGCCATCGACTAGCTACTTCTTTTATTCTCGCTCACCTCGAGCGCCGTGATTTGCATAAATTGGAAATCGTTGTCGAAACAGACAGTTCAATCAACTGGAGATCCAAAGCAGGCGAAGCGCTTTCCAATTGAGTTTTGGTTATGTTTTTGTAATTAGGTTTAATTGCCATTACGTATACGCCCTGGATACCGAAAACAGGCAACGGTGGCAAAGTGGGAAAGCTGAGTACGGGGCTTTTAATTAATCGCAGATTTATGGCTTGAGGTATGTGTACGGCCATATAAATGGAATTTTAATTATTCAAAAGCTACAATTAAAATATTTAATGAATTCATAAGTCTGACAGTTTAATTGCAAGAGTTTGCCATAACTTTGGCCGCACTGAGGAGAATATTTATAGAAGCGGATAAATCCTGTTGTTGCGACAGGCGCAAGGAAACGCTCAGAGGCTTTGTGTGTTTGGGGATACCTGTTGGACATATTTTAATTTATTTATTTGCAGCAGCAGCTGTGGGCGAGAAGTTCAATCTTCGGCCAAGCCATTAGCACAAATATTCATAAACTTTTGCTAGAGTTTCCAGTCATTTTTTCGACGTCCTTCTCGCCCCACCGAATTCAATTCATCGGAATATTTAATTTCTGTTTGAGGAGAACGCTTTCACAGCACTTGAGCCACACCCACCGCCCGATGGCCTTGTAACCTCCACACTTTTCTATTTTGTGATCAAAATGGAAGTACTTTGTGGACCGGAGGGGGCCAAATCACACGGTTTGTCTCATTTATCGATTTTCGCCCCATTGTGCGAGGTGCTCGCTCGGTGGCGCACGCTTTTAAGCTAACGATGCAAACTGAAAATGTTGACAACAAACATTTTTCAAGCTGTGAGCTCTGAGCGGTGTGTTGTCCTTGTTGCAAGGTAGCCGTAGCCGAGCCTTAAACAAATACAGATAGCGCTCTATTCCCCCAGCACACACGTGTGTGTATCTCGGTCGTGGAAATGGAAATGGAAATAGGAGCAGACGGCAGAGCCCCTGCCGTGATTCCATTTCAGCCCGGCCAACGGCACTGCCAACTTTTACAGCTGGAAAATATGGTTTTGCATAAAATTGCGAATAAATGCTGCGATATGAGTCAAGGCTAAGATTAGCCAGGCATGATCTTAAAGCACCGTTTTGTACGGAATGCTGCGGATGTGCCAGTGGAAAATTACAAAAATTAATCCAAGAGGAAGGCGGAATAAAAATGCCACAAATTTGCAGAATTCGCACTGAAAAACAAACTGAAAGTTGACCTTTTATATTTTTTTTGACTTTGGCTTGTCGTTGTACAGAATTTAATTTTGCAATTTAATGGTTAAAGTCTCCGTTTTCATAGTATACATGAAAAAGTTTTCCCAGCTCTAGCAGTATTGGAAAAACAGACTGTCAATCATTTTTCCGAGTGCAGGGCAACGTGGCTATGGCCATAAACAAGGAGCATTCTTCTTGGCCCCGCCAACACTGTAAAATTATGAAATCATAAAAATATTTTTACGATTACATAAAAAGTTGCGAAAATGTGGGCGTCGCTTACAATGTACGCCGACTCTTGGTTTTTGGGTCCGGATCCGGGTCCGGGACTGAGATAGTAGACCCGGCAATTGCGTGATAGTATAAAATTCAACTTTAGACATATGACTTCATTATTTATCAAACGGCGCGGCTTGAGAAGGGCCGTCAAAGGGGCACAGTGCTCCCGAATAGTTGGTGGCCAGACCGCACACCCCACATTGACCTGTGGCCGGAACGGAAACCTAGTGCCATATATTCAAATTACGTGTGTCACACGGATCCGAAGCCATGAGACCAATTCCAAGGGGCCGAAAGCGGAAAACCACATTCGAACAATTTCATTAAAAATGAGCCACACACTCGTATGTGGGAATGGAACTCCTTTCGGACTATTTCATTTGCTGAGCTCTGCGGCTTTAACCCTATTAGCCTTTCGCCCCGGCCCGCCATAATTCATGTTGTTTTCATTTGCTTTGATTAGCAAATGCGGCCTGGATTGTAGGATTTTTGGACGGCAAATTATAACGTGACTCGCGCTCCGGGCCACTAAAAATCGTATTTAGTGTATTTGGTGTATTTGGTTCTGTCTCGTGCGTGTTTCCTTCACTTGCCACACGCAATCCACAATCCGCAACGTGAGCTGTGAATTGCTCTAACACAAAACACACTCATCCCAAAAGGAAACGCCAGGAGCCCGCGAGAAAGAAGAGCGACGAACGCGTCGGACATAAAAATTTTAATTTATGCCGTGTTGAGTGCGTTATGCCCCAGTTCGTCACAAGTGTGCCTACTTTAGATCTCTCCGTATCACACAATGTATGCAGATAGCTAGCACACAAGTCGACCAGCCCAACAGTGCATCACGTATCTTACGTTTAATTAAATATGTTGTGAGTCAATCTAATGTGATTACAGAAAAACATAGAAAGCTGATTTAATCTTTAATAATACAAAATTTATAAAAATCAATAATTCAAAATAAAAGTTAAAAAATGATTATTTGCTGAACCTACAAGTGGTTTAATTTTAATGGAAAATTGTAAATCAGATTAGTTTTTTAATGTTCTGACAACATTTTTTACCTTAAGGCTCTAAATATTTCCATTTTGAAACTCTTTTATAAAATTGTTCGAACATAATATTTAAAGGATTGAAATAAAAAAAGACAAAGGTACTCTTCAATTACAAAATTAAATACTTGGAATAAAACATTTTCACTTCTCGGCATTTTTTATGGTTTACAAATGAAAGTCTTAATTATTGTGATTCAGTTTTTTTTAAGTGGCGCAGTGGAGACACGCAGCAATTAGCTAGTATTTTATTTAAAACTTAATATCATTTATTACAGAGTTACAAACGTTGGGGTGTGCGCGGTAGTTACATCTGGATTTTAAAATATATATATTTATGACCATTTGGGACGGAATAGAAATACTTCCCAAAAATCTTTCTAATTTCAATTACAATTTGTCCTAGGAATGTGGGATTTCAATTATTCATTCATTTAAATTATTTTTTAAATGATTATTTTATATTTTCACAATATCCTTACTATTTGATGACTCTTTGATAAAAATATTTTTCAACGAATTCTATGAAATCGCTAACACTGTGCGGTTTGAAGTCAGACCACAAATCGGCACTTCTGACGTGCTCTCTATAGCCCATTTTGCTGTCGTTCGCCAGGCGCTGGAAAATGTTGGATTTCCTCGAGGCACGCGATGGATTTCCATTTCCCACCGATGCCATGTGCAGAAAGCGGAATGAGAGAGACCGCGAATATGTAAAAATTATAATTCATGTTACATATTTGATGAAACACATTCAATCATTCGCCTGGCATGGCCGCAGCCCGATAATTACGCATTTCGCCTTTTTCGCAGTGTGGTTATTTTTAATGATAAATGACCGGGCCCAAAGTGTTGGAAATTTTTCGGAGCTTATGCCGAATATTTCGCCGCACTGGTGTTTATGTGCTGGGCGTGTGTTTCCCATCCCATCCCATCCCATCCCATCCCATCCCGTGTAACTAATTTTGTGTCAAAAATACTTAGCGGCAACAGCGATAATACACCCCCATGTATACAATGTGTGCGGCAAGGCAAACAAGGAGCTGGATGTGGCAACGCAATTTGTCATTTGTCAGAATCTAATGCAGTTAATAATTAGCTAAGCCGTCTAATGGCAAGGTGTCTGGATTCCTCTTGACAATGTAATGCTTGACTTCACTCCTCCCCGTCCCCTCATTCCTCCTTTGGGCCATTAGAGGAGCCAAGTTGCTCCACGTTTGGGAGCCTACGGGGAAATCAATGGATGATTAATTGCCCCAGCTAGATACAATTTGGTCTTAAAGGATTTGCTATTACGTAGGGCTCTATGAATAAGTTTACATACAATTTGTAATTGTAATTTGGCAAATGCGAAACTAAAAAAATATTGCAAGTGTTAATATAGCAAGCAGATCAATGAACTTGAGCAACAAAGTGTTTAAACAGTTTATAGTAATTTAATTTGTTCATTAATCTTTAATACATTTTTTTTGCTTGAATCTTTGTTTTAAATAGAATAATTAAATTACAATTAAAAAAAAAATGCTTTACAATCTTAACCTATTATATATATATATATATACATATGTAATTATATAATCCTTAGAATTAGAAAAAAACTATAACATCTCTCTTTAAAAATGTTCATAACCGATAATAAAATTATTTTTTTAAGTACCATTCTAGGTTAAAAAAGAAGGTAAAAAGTTCTTTTTCATACTTACGGAAACCAACTAAAATACCGAAATTCGTAACTTGAACGGTTAATCGTGTAATCAATAAAGATCCGATTTGCATTCTAGCG